CGACTCTGCCCATTTACTCAACCGCTCAAGTTCACTCAGTGCCAGCGACAACTTTTAGTTTTAGTTCATGTAAGCCGGCCTCGTCATTGAACTAGTCGTACCTCGCGCCCCATCGTCCTAGTTATTGGTTTACCCAACTACAGTGACCTTTTACGTAATGGGTGATTCTCTTTGGTTTCACACTTCGCCCCGTTTTGTTGTCATCCGCAGCGCTTAGAGTGTGGCAACCCGATCATGTCTCAGTTGGCACGTTCTCCCTTAGCTGAGAAATATACTCATTATTATTGCTATCATTATTATTATAACGAACTGCCACTTCTTTCGGAGCTTTTGCGTGGGTTCTTGCTGTGCATTTGTTCTACGACACTGCTCTTTAATTTCCAGGGCCTTGAAACTAAAATTCACTCATTCACCAACTGTTATACTGGCACACTGGGATTTAAAGAAATTGTCCTCGAACTGTCCCAGTTCAGACGTCGGTTCGTGCTGGAACGATATTGCCCATTCTTGCGCAGTGCCGAGACTTACGCCCAAACGTTTTAATTCTGGCTCCACTCTAGCGCTAGATGATAAAGGAAAATCGATGTTAATTGAATATTGTAGAGATGGTCTTGCTGATGCCTAGATTACTCACACCCGGCGAATTATTAGGCATTGGATGAAAGCTGGCGCGCGTGATAACGATGAAGCCTGGTGGAGGGAAACTGTAAAAAAATAACAAAGGCTTAGAATACCGAGAAAGTAAAAAAATCATTTCAGTTGATCCTTTTGTCTGGTCGCTAAAACGCCATGAACAAAACCTCCAAGAACTGAACCAGCGCAATAATAATCAATAAGAATGAACGCTTTTAGTCCAGGGTCGGACAGCTTGAACCAGCTGGTCAGCTGCATCTACTCACCTGGATTCGCAGATTTGAGATCCCATGTGGCTGCGAAGGTTTATGGCCACATATATTCTTTCACTTGCCACTAAGCTCTTCTACCAGACAACTTTCCACCCACATTATCCTGCAACATTGTTTGAAACCGCTGCTTCATGATCACAAGTTCCGCAACAAGATGTTTAGAATGCGAGCATTCAGCTTGGTAAAGGGGACTTTCGACCAAGAGCATATCCAGCGCCAAAACTTAAGGTAACTGTTGGGCAATCCAAATAGCGCGTTTTGCGTTCAATTGAAATCAAGTCAAGTGTGGAGATGACAATACCTTTATCTGGAGCATGAGGAAGGCTCCATTTTGCTTGGGTGCCACTGCCGTGGCTCGGGTTCCAGAAAGGGGACCGTAAACGCCCCTTTGTATTGCTACAGACACCGCAACATGTGGCTACTATTAGGCGTCAATGGTTTACTTGTTGTCATTTTCCACTTACGGTGTCCGAATGAGTGTTGAAAAGCGTAGAAATATTGGAATAGTTGTAATAGGTAGGTGCTAAATCTGCTTCACATATACTTTTACCATTTAATTTACAGCAAGGCTCGAGTGCATTCATTGAGTTTAATTCGGAATTTTCAATACGTGCGACGTGATGCCACAGAATAGAACTAAGATCCCATTTTTATGATCAGCAAAGGTGACCAGATCCCTAATATCGTAATTCGAGATCAGGCTTGTGACCAGGTCGTTTTAAAAACGCGTGATAATAACCGCCGCGGAATGACGAGTTATAACCAAAAAAATCTGGGCCCTCTTGCACTGAATTCGAATGCGTGCAAAGGGACTGTGGGAATTAGGATAGGAATTGTGATATCTTACGAGCCTTTGTTTTGCATGCAAGGTCACAAATGGTTAACATTGTGGACGTATTCGGTTAGCTCTATTGAGAGGACCGAAGCAAACTAATGAATTTCAAATTTCTTAAAGGGGCGTGTGAAACTGATTCAGAAGAACGCGATAGACTGAGGTTGCTAAATGAACTCGCTATCAAATCTGAAAATAGCATGGAACCACTGTCTTGCCGAACTGGAGCTGGGACTGTTCTTTTTGCGGAATAAAACGCTGGGAGAACGGAGGGATACTGTGAAATCAAACCTCAGTTGGATTGTGCATACGCGGAATCAATGAAGCTAAGGAGCGCGCGCTCCGGACATGAGTTAAAAAGATTTCTTAGGACGTTTCCAATAAGTGAGGCAACTAGGAATCTCAGTTATCCATCATTGCCAGGAAACATTCACTGCTTCGTGAATTGTGCTCACAAAACTGTGACTTGTCTTCATTCTTATTCCTCCTGGGCGTAGCAAGGCACGCTAATACTTTTTTTTCGTACTAATGTTTATAAATTACATATAATATGCATATTAGTTAAATATAAAAGTGAAAAATAATATGAAATATGCATTATATTTATATG